TTAAAACAACACCTTGTATATGAGTGTCTAAATAATCTTAAAATGCTCCCAGAGTGACTTGAAACAGACTGGTAGGGCTTTTCTTTGATAATTTATTTACGTTGAAAATTTTATATTTTGATTAGTTAAGTTAAAAAGCATGGTATATTAAAATTACCTGTACAATTTGATCTCAGAATATGTATACAAGTCGTTTGTATGTCATCCATTGCTTTGTACAATTTTTCACAATAAAAACTTAGAACGAGTATTATGAGGAACGCCTTCATGACCCATAGATTGAATAATGTGACCATGGCTATTGTTTTAACCTGTATGATAAAAACATTACGATATGTGAAAATCAATTCATTTTCACATTTCACTTTACATACGCAATGGGAATTCGGTCATCATCACCATCAACAGCCTATAAGTGTTGTGGCCGCACTGACCAAATCCCTGTTCTTACGCGGCGGAGAAGGTTAACAAAGAAAATTAAAAAGGCATTAATTACCACGCTTGCTCATTGCGGGTTGGTGATTTCAAACTTATAATTAGAAATTATAAACCCAGGTTTCCTCACGATGTTTGCCTTCACCGTTTGTCAGTAGTGTCTAAATAATCTAAGTATTAATCTTAGTAGTAGTACATATAACTTGAAAAAAGTTTCCTTGGTATTTGCCGTTGGTAAGTTCGAACACGGCCACCACAACACACCTCATAATTTAGTTGGACTTCTAACAAATTAATAGAATATTACTCACATATCCAATTAGATTTTCATGAAGAAAATTAATTCTCAAAGTATCTAGTGCCACTTGTAATTTAATCAAGATGTTGTAAATCAATTCAACGACGTTAAATGCAATCTGGTTATAAAGAAAGACAAAGACACACAATTATTAACTCGGAACTGTTCACTTGTTCAGCACATTTATTTAGATTTTTTATGGAATAAGCCGGTAAACGAGCAGGATCACCTGATGGTAAGCAATCGGCGCCGCCCATGGACAGGTGGAGGTGTAACAAGTTACCGGCCTTTTGGGGATTAGGAATTTGAGGATTATCGAGGATTCAGGGATAGGAGAGACTGAGGAGATTGGGGAGGGAGGTAATTGGGCCTCCGGGAACCTCACTCACATGACGAACCACAACTCGAGCGTTGCTTCACGTCGTTTTTCTGTGAGGCCGTGGTACCTCTCTGGTCGAGCCGACCTATTCGTATTAGATTAAATTAGAAATACAAACCATTGTCTGAAAAGCGGACTTGTAGATGTTGTAACATTCCAAAATTCTAACATATAATTTAAACATCATTTTGCAGTATATTGAGTTATTGGAATCAGTTCGTGTCAAATATCTAACATGGTCATTCCATGATTCAACTTTAATAATCAACAACTTCAAGAGGCTTGAGGCATATATAACATTAAGTTCAAAGCAGAAAATAGTTAACTGCCTTATGAAAGTGTATAAAGCAAATTTGAACAAATAGCAAGCAACGGCCATAGAAATGAGGTAGAAAACAAAATCTGAAACGACACTAATCCAATTGAAAATAACCAAATGTTTGAAGCATTTCTTATTATGGAAGAATCTATGAAGAGCTTGTAACTTTAAGATGAATTTGACGATCCTCTTAGTTTTCATTACGTTTGTGATATAATACATAATTAAACCAATCCCGTACAAGAACAAGCTGCTGTAGTAATACACATAGGCTGTTAGATAGTACAATTGTTGGGGACCCTCTAAATGAAGCACATAAATGTCATAAGCAAAGAGACTGATGCTGAAGAATACAGTAAGTAAAGACACAACATCTGTCGTTACACTATTTGAAACTATTGCATTGTTTTTGATACGAAACTTTGGGTACAGCAAAATCCTGTGAATCACGTTCAATGGCAAAATAATTGAATGCAAATCCTCGTCTAGCGTATTGTCCAGAAGATTATTTTCTATGTTGAAATTTCGATTATTATAACACCAGTTTTTTATAGACGACATATCTGTGAAATGACGTAGAAAAAATAAACAGCTAATTCGTTACAGTTATTGACGTAATGGTAAAGTAATTGGGATATGATAATAATGTGTTTATTTAAGTATGCTTGAGTGGTTTTGGTGACCTTTTGGGACGCGTTACCAAGTTGTATGTATGTCATATGTAACATTATGGTAGGTATTTTGAAATACTAGTTTCTGCCATCGCTTCTGGCTTCGCCCGACCATAATCTATCCCTGCTCCGAATGTCATTCCGGTCCCTCAGTCGTTTGATATGACTGCCTCGTTGGCCGAGTGGTCGCAAGTGCGACTGCTGGGTAAGGGGTCTCGGGTTCAATTCTCGGCTCGGGCAAAGTACTACTGGGTTTTTGAAAAAATTCCCAGTGGTAGCACGGAGTCTGGAATTGTGCCCGGTAAATGGCAATAGGCTCACCCCCTATTACATGGGACTCATAACATAATTAGTGAAAAGTGGGTGTTACATTGTAGTGGCATTAAGTGCCGTAATGTGCACCACTGCCTACCCCTTTAGGGATAAAAGGCGTGATGACATTTACGTTACATAATATCGGTTCAAGCCAATTTCAACTATCGGCCCTACAGTTATAGCGTAAAGTCGACTGCGGGTAACTTAACATTCGACAAACTTATATTTGCGTTTGGTACAGTAAGTGTCTCTAAGGATTGAGCCGCACAAATATTTACTTTTTTAATTATGGATGAGTGATAGTATTATAAACGTAAGAGTAAACATATATAAGCAGAGATCCGAACTGCTAAGCTATCGGGAGTTACACGTGTTATTGCGAGTCAACTATAAAATATAGACATATACTGTTGTGGGATATTTATTAGATAATTTTATGTAGAACATTTCCGTTATACATGATTTCTATGTAGCTTTAACCATTAAGGCTGCATACGCGACTGAAGCTTAAAAAATAGAGTAACTTCCCCCGTTTTCCCAACATGTCCCTTCACTACTCTGCTCCTATTGATTGTAGCGTAATGAAAAGTATACTATAATCTCCCCAGGAGTATGAAGAATAATTGTACCAAGCTTCGTTCAAATCCGTCTTGTAGTTTTTGTTTCAACAAGGAACATATAGACGGGCAGACAGACAGACAAAAATCTTACTGATTTCATTTTGGTATTAGTATCGATCACTAATCACCCCCTGATAGTTATTTTGGAAATATAATTCATGTACAGAATTGACCTCTCTACATATTTACAATAATTATACATGTATATTATGATATATTATAGTAGATAGTTTCTTCATTATCATCATCTTCAACCGTCTATAAGTGCCCACTGCCGAGCAAAGCACTTCTCGTACGGAGAAGGTTTGAGCATGAATTTGTAAACCTGAGCAATTTGACTTCATAATGATTACCCACGTGTTTTTTATTTTATCCATACATTTGTAGAACTCTTCACTTTTATAAAACTTCATTCAAAAAAGGTTGGTGTTAGCTATGTCTGGTAGCTGTAAAATCAAAAAAGTTATTGTTTACAATATTACATTTATTTTACACTAAATACAATAACATGTCAAAATTATCAGCTACTATGGCAAAATCAGACGTAAGACATTATTCAAAATATTATTTTAATCTTAGTTCTTAATATTACTTACTTATTAAAATTACATGTGCATGTTTACTAGGTTCGAACCAGTCAAAAAAGTCGGAGGCAAGGGTAGAGGATTACGATATCCGGCCACCGTAACCGCGGGCCTGTGGACGACGTGCATGAGTGGCTCGCCGCACGACCAGAACCAGACCATAGCGAACGGCGCGTCGTGCTCCGCGCGCGCCTCAAATAGCCATCAGACCACCACGGATGGGGTCCAATGGGGCTGATGCCGATACGAAGTCGCGGAGAACTTAACGGGTTACCGAGGCTCCGGCTCGAAGTGCAGGTGTAGGAACAGGGTGGTTTTTATAGGGTAGAGGATTAATTGAGTCCCTCTTATGTATTTTCTTTTGTTGAAATACATATACTAATCCATATCATATAAATTAAAATGACATTGATTTATAGGCAATTTATGTCTACAATTTCATCAAAATCTACCAAAACATTTTCAACAATTTCTAACACTCCCAGAAAACGTTCCAGGCAACCCCTAATGGAGGAGGCGGGGGGTGCATGAGGCAGCAAAGCGCTGCCTCCTCACAACCCAACCGTTGCAAAGAACCCTCCGGGCGTCGGAGATCGCGGAACCATATTTCCGCCTTAATGATCGAAATGAATATTCCAATGTAAAAGGCTGTTCCTATATCGTTATGAGATAGGTCGGCAAACGAACAGACGGATTACCTAATCCAACATAAGAAATACAAGTGGGAGGGAAGTATTGGGCTTTCTGTAACTACATTCACACGGCGTAACATTACCATAATCGATATAATTCCAAAATCTTTATTTTGAACCCGGTTCATCTATGGCCTTTGAAGAGGTTTTGCTCTGAAAAGAAAAAATAGTTTGAAACAAAAAGTTGTTAATAAACCTCTCCCCCCAAATGTATTATTTGAATCAATATCATATTATTTTTGTGATATACAAAAAGATATCATGGATTAGTATAGAAAAGTAAATAAATAAGAGGAACTCAATGAATCCTCTTCCCTTTTCTGATAGGATCGGACCTAGTAAACACGCACATGTATTTTTATAAATCGTTTTACATAAATACAAATATGAGAAAAGACAGTATATAACCATTTATACTGAGTAAATATTAAAAGAGGTTTTATTTAGTTCTTTACCACATGCGTCTACAACCAGATATATAAAATAATGTGATGGAAGCTAAAGAAGTATGTATGGATCGCATTACGTAACATTCAATGTATGAATAAACATAAATATGTATTTTAGGTCATTGTTCAAAAATTCATAAATATAATTTACTTTCCTATGATTTTAATGACTTATATAAAATCTAAGTTACATCGATATGCGCTTAAAAATAATCACAAACCAAACTCCTTAAATAATTTATGTTTGTATGTATCTATCCTTATAACTACTGTGAATAAAGGTAGTGTTACACACATTTCGACCCTGGGCTTTAGTTTCAAAGGTCATAAGGTCACAGGGTCGCTTCTTTGAGGTCGTGATGCGGGTCAAAGTTGTGAAGGTCTCTAAATCACTCGCCGTTGAACAGCAGAACGCTCGACGAAATTCACGACGGAATTTTCCTGGAAAATTGGAGAAAATATATTAAGATTTTTTAAGTAATAGCTAGTACTGTACATATTTAACTTGGTATTACGTTTAATGACTATTTTGAGTAGATATTATTGAGAGATTTTGGCATTGTAACTTGTTCCATGTAGTCTGCTATTGTATTGGTAATTGCAAATAATTACTAAAGACTGTCAAAAAACAGAGTCTTTATTTATCGAAGGATTAATCTGGGTTTCTTAAACTGTCAAACACCAAGCGGTCACCGGTGACCGCAACCTATTGTTCTTTAATTGTGTCTATAAAACCGGTACTCGACGAGTTAATGGCCCGAGTAATTAAGTTGCTTATTACAACTAAGCGAGAAAGTGATCAAACACCGCCCATTACAAAAACAGCTTGCTATAATAAGATCTTCTTTTCCAATAAAGTAATATTGTACTTTTACTTACAAACAGAAATGGGCATTTAAAGTGGAAGCAGACATCATTTCTGCCTACCTTTTTTTAATATGAAAGAATAATAATGTGCTTAGAATACCTACCACTCATAAAGTTGTAGATCAAAGGATTGATGGCAGAATTCGCGTAGCACATCACATGGGAGATCAGAGCGAGACAGGTGATCACATCCGACTGTTCCATGTCAAGGGTGTATCTGTAAGTGGGAAAGAGATAGATATTTCTTTAGTACATTGGGCACATAATACCAATAATAATAATATTATTTTAAACAAAAAGTTCACTTTAATCTAATTACACCTGAAACCCCAGAGATGACAAATACATCGGACCATGTGAAAAACCAGGTATAAGATTTTAAATAAGATCGATTTAAGTGTGGAAAAACCATGCTTCGGCACGAATGAGCGGCTCGACCGAAGTGATACCACAACCTCACTGAAAACTGAGGTGAAACAACGTTTGCGTTGTGTTTCGTCGTGTGAGTGAGGTTACCGGAGGCCCAAGTACCCCTCTCCTCAATCTCCCCAATCTCGAAATACCTCACAATCCTCAAATGCCTAATCTCGAAAAGCCCGATAACGCACATGTAAAGCCCCTGGTGTATCGGGTGTCCATGGGCGACGCCGATTGTTTACCATTCAGGTGATCCGTCTGGTCGTTAACCGGCTTATTGCATAAAAAAGGAAAATGCGCCACCGTTTCTGAGGATTCTTAACCCCTCGAGTGTACCACCCACTTTTCACTATTAATGTTACGAGTCCCATGTAATAGGGGGTGAGCCTATTGCCATATACCGGGCACAGTTCCAGACTCCGTACTACTACTGAGATTTTTTTTAAAACCCAGTAATACTTTGCCCCACCCGTGAATCGAACCTGAGACCCCTTGCCCGGCAGTCGCACTTGCGACTACTCGGCCAACGAGGCAGTGTCTATAATATGATCTTTTCGCACATTCAACGATTAGTTTATACTGGTTTTGAATAGATCAATGTTTGGTAATAGTTCTTTTATGTTTTAAATATTACAATAATGTCATCTAAATAATCTTAATTATTATTATCTTGTCTCCCTTTCTTCTTCATTAATGAGGTAGCTATTTTTGTAAAAAGCAATCTTATCTTGTAAGAGAAGATAACAGACACCTGTATTCGTAATCGACGGGATAATAGACTTTGCGTACCTAGATCAATTACAGCGTGATTAAAAGTATTATTTGTTTGGTGTCAATCATAATAAAATCTCTAAACCTATTAAACAATAGCCGACAAATTAATTATATCCAAATTTTTTCATAACTTATCGGAATTTTTAAAGTACCTACCGCCGCAATTATTTACGAAATTATTATTTACCTAAAATACCGGTATTTTGGAATGACCACATATTTTATTGACTGAAATATTAATAAATTATTAACCTGCAATTGCGAAATTTTCACTACTATTTAATTTATACTTATTGTCTATTTTATATTGTATTGTTATCACATGTTTTTTTTGTTACATTTAACATGAATTTTTTTGTTACATTTAAATTGAATTTTTTTTTTAAATATAAATAACTAATGATAATTATTTTTGATATTGACCTTTAATAAATTTGCACATTTTAATTGTTTGAAAAAAAATCAGTATCTAAGATACTGATTTTTTTTAAATATTTTGTTTTAGTTTTAAATTAATGTGCTAGACGGACATCAAAATAAAATTTAGGAAACTACCCTATTATAAGACCTATATCTGTTTGCACCTATGTTAACAAATAAAATTGATTTAAATTGGTTTGATTTTAATCACGCTGTATAATTCTGTGCTTATTAGCCTATCTTCCTTAGTCTTTTACATTCTAAATCCCATTACACAAAAAGAAAACATATTTATTTCGGGATATTGAATAGGGTTGACCGTCTCAGATGGCTGAAGATCCGTCATTCACATCTGGCACCCCTGAAAGGCGACCCCAAAGTTATTTGAAAAAATAGTAAAGTAAGGAACAAAATTGCTTTACATTTTCGTAATTTCAGACCAATTTGAGTGAAATACTTTCTGAATTCAAATTCTAAAATAATTTTATTGTTTTTCTTCAATTACTAGCTGTCTGTTTTCATCTGCTGAAAAAGCATAAAAGATGGACAAACAAATAGATACACACACTAGTAAGTATTTATAATACTAGTATGAATAATTCACTGCCTCGAATGCTTTTCACTGCAATGACTGCCTCGTTGGCCGAGTGGTCGCAAGTGCGACTGCCGGGCAAAGGGTCTTGGGTTCAATTCCTGGGTAGGGCATAGTATTATTGGGTTTTTAAATATCGTAGTGGCTCGGTGCAGACGCCTGCTTCTCATGCATGAGGATATGGGCTCAAAACCTACCCACAGCAAGTACCAATGTGACATTTTCCTAGTTATATGTACTTCCAAATAATATTTTAGACACCATTGACTAACGGTGAAGGAAAACATGGCTTGGTTTATAATTTCTATTCATAAGTTTGAAATCGAAATCCGCATTGATCAAGCGTGGTGATTAATGCTCAAACCTTCTCGATATGAGAAGAGGTCTTTGATCAGCAGTGGCCACCTATAAGTTGTTGACGTGTGCCGATAAAATATTAGTTATACTTATGGAGCATGAATGGCTAATAGAAAGAGTCAATTTTGTGATACGTATGACGATATTGTTTGACAATCGTACGAAACGTGTTGAATTAGTTGAGGGTGCAGACGAGCAACTATAACGGTTCGCTCTACATTATTTACAACTATTATAATTAGCAGTTAAACAAGATTAGGCAGTGATGGTAAGTCAAGAGGTAACATTTTTAAAGGTAATTAATTGTAAAACAGGAAATCTTTTATTAGCTCGCTTATCGCTTAGAAAAAAATACATTTCTCGTATTTTTTTCTAAGCGGGGAAAATCATCGAATTACTGTTCCCGCCCGAGTGAGATGAGAGGAAACTGACTTTTAGTTAGTAAGAGTCTGACACTCTCTCTCGCCGTATCGGCATCATCCCTATTGGGCCCCATCTGCGGTGGCCTGATGGCTCTTTGAGGCACGAGGTGAAACGCGACGCGATCCCCGATGCCCGAAGTCGCCTTCGCGGCGGCTAAGTTGTGGTTCTAGACCTCTGCCTCACGCGCCGCGCTTCCTCCTTAGCTAACATGACTGCTTTACAAAAGGTAGAGACGGCATCCCAGTCCTCCTCGCTACACATAATGATCCAAACTAAGGCCGAACACGAGACCAAGGCATGACGCCACTGTGGGCTCCACCGTTTTCTCCAGGTGGTCCTCGAAGGAATGACACACGGACGTTTTCTCCAGGTACCTCCCGAAGCCTCGAAGTTCTTATGTCCGGTTAGCACCTGCGTCAGGCCGTAGGTAAGGACACCGTAGCCTCTTAAGCCACTCCTCAAAGGGGACTTACCTCTGCAATAGCAGCGAGAACAACATTGCACGAGTGGAACTTGACTTGAAATTATTATCGTATCGTCCTCTCTCGTCGCGGAGGACCTAACGGGTTACCGGGGCTCCGGCTCGACGTGCAGGAGTAGGAACGGTGTGGTTTTTAGTCAGTAAGAGTCTGACACTCCCTCCCGCCTTTCACCCAGGCGGAGTAGTCATTCGATGATTTTCTCCACTTAAAAAAAAAAACGTCCTCTGTCTCTTTGTGAAAACTAATAAAATACTACGTATTTACTTATAATTTTTACCTTTTCAATATGAAGAAGGTGTATAACATTTATTGCTAGAGTAATATCAACATGTCATTAACAATCGCCTGCGACTGCAACTATCTCCAACAAAGTTGCCCGTCTAAAACTTAGCAGCCTAAAATCAACCAGACGTGAAATCTGATACAAGTGTCAACATTGTCTAATAAATCAAACATGCCCGACGATGCGACATAGTAATAATCATTAGTAAACATACATACCTACATACAATAACCAAATTATGTTTGCACTTTAATGTGTCGCTAGTATCTACGTCAAAAAATATTTTGTACTTACATTGCTTTAGTACTTCTTAGTATCAATTTTTGCCGTATGACTTTTTAAATTTTTTATCTTGTAACATGTATCCTTGTTTACTGTTGACATCACAGACTTCTGTGAAATGCGACTATTTTCGTGTTAGAAAAATACACTTAACTTGGGAGCAAATAAACGAAGCGACTAGTGTTTTTTTCCTTTCCATTTCTTAATGAATTATTTCTGATTCAATTGTTTTATTAATCGGTAACGTATGTCGTATTACTACTCACCATTTAAAATTCTTACCAACGAATGCATTTTCTTGTAAAATCTTTATTTAAAAAAAATGCCAGTGGTTCTGTTTCTTTGTTCCCTTTGTTTGCTTCTGTTCATAATACACAATTATTATGACAATACACCATTATTAAGACAGGCATAAAAGAAATATTTATTTCTAAGAAATAGTTCCTTTCTAAAAAGTTCCTTTAAAAAAAGCATCAAGTAATATAATACGGGGTTTCCGAGTCAATACAATACGGGGTTTCCGAGTCAATACAATACGTTTCATTTAGCTGAAACATGTCTTACAATCTACCTCTTTTTTTTGAGGGGTCATCCAAAGACTTCTCCCACCATGGATTAGGTGAGAGGGGGTGTCAAACTCTTACTGAATAAAACCACCTCTTTTCTACTCCCGCTCTTTGAGCCGGAGCCCTGGCAACCCGTTAGGAGCAGGCGGGCACGTGAGGGAACGAATCATCTCAAGCCCCAATCGTCACGGGAGCCACTCCAGGCGTCAGAGATCGCGTGATGATCTCCGGCCACCGTAAATAGAACCAGACTCGTCTAAAGCCATGCCCAGTAGAGCTGATGCCCGATACGGAGCCGCGAAGGACTTAATGGGTTGCCGGGACTCCGGCTCGAAGTCCAGGAGTAGGAACGGGGTGGTTTTTAGTCAGTAAGAGTCTGACACTCCCTCTCGCCTCCCCGGGCGGGAGAAGTCATTCATCATTCAGTTACTGTTAAATTTAACACTAACTTAGTAATATAGTTTTCTGTGGTACAACTAAACATAAGGGTACAAGACATGTTGAACACGTTAATTAACGTATACGAACATGGTAGATGTTAACATCTACAGCCAGTGATTAAATGTGTTTAAACATTACTACTATATACCTATCATTATATCATAGAGTTGATCGAATGTGGAAAAACTGATGCAAATGTTCGATTCCCGCACGGAACAACACTTTGTGTGATCCACAAATTGTTGTTTCGGGTCTGGGTGTCATGTGTATGTGAACTTGTATGTTTGTAAACGCACCCACGACACAGGAAAAAATCCTAGTATGGGGTTACGTTTTTTTTTTATAACAATTACATCCAAAATATATGCCATCTTATAACAAACGACTTAAATCAATTCAAAAATGTAAAAACAACGTAACACAACATAACATCACGCCTTTTTATCCCCAAAAGGATGGGCAGAGGCGCACATTACGACACTTAATGCCACTGTACAATGTAACACCCACTTTTCACTATTTATGTTATGAGTCCCATGTAATAGGGGGTGAGCCTATTGCCATATACCGGGCACATTTCCAAACTCCGTGCTACTACTGAGATTTTTTAAAAACCCAGTAATACTTTGCCCGACCCGGGAATCGAACCCGAGACCCCTTGCCCGACAGTCGCACTTGCGACCTCTTGGCCAATGAGGCAGCCTAGTGCTATGTTATTTTTCTTATTAATTTTATAATAAGTGAATTAATATATTATATCACTATGCTTACCTGAGCACTGACAGAAGGTGGACAGGGAAATAGCAGACAGCAAACATGATGACCACGGCCACCAACATCTTCGCTGCCTTCCTTCTGGAACGCAGTTGAGCTAGAAAACCAATAGTTATGTCAATAAATATAATTGTCGTAGTCGTGATAGATCGCCGGTAACCTAACTTACACAACGGGAAAGAACGCAAGTTTCACGTTGGTTTTCTGCTCGGCCGTGGTATCACTCCAGTCGAGCCTGCCCATTCGTGCCAAAGCATGGCTCTCCCATACTTATTATCCAAAGAGAATATATTTGATTATTTATAATATTAACATGAAACGAATGACTTATGTATGTATGTACTTATAAAATATCAGCGATATATATTATTTAAATTCCAGTCATAATAACATTACAAAAAATAACTTAAATAATTGGCTCAATATATCGAAATTCACTACACTAGAATATCAACTAAATACTAATTTTATTTAAATTTTTATATAATAAAATAGAACATTCTCATGTTTTATACGTCTTTGTGGGATTAGCTAAATATTAACTAACGAGGTTATTGGTTAGGTATTCCAATAGTCCAACGGGGTCACAACCTATTGGAAAAGGTAATTATAAATCTAGATCAGGGATCAACTTTAGACCTAAAAGTCTAACTTTTAAACATATCCTTTACTTTGACATTATTAAACCTTGTTCCTTGGAGCCGGCCAATCAAAGCGCCGAACATGTACTCGGTTCGATTACTTTAAACGTAAAACAAACTCATAGGTACCAAGGCTTCTGTAAATGATCACTTTCAAAAATCACTCTTACAACCCATGTAATAAGAACTACTTTGTTCTAATCAAATTAATGATCACGTTTTAATTGTTCCCATCGAATACGTCGAACTAAAGTTTCAATTTAAACTTTTAATGGGGATTCTTGGTATCAGGGCATTGTTGGTACTTTTTTATTGTTCTTAGATTTTTTATTTTTCTTGATAAGAAGAGTGGATGACGTCTAACATTTTTATTACATCAACTAGGCAGCACCGTCTTTACCATTAGGGCACTCAGGGCTCGTCCCAAGCGTACGGCGCGTCACGTTCCGCGCGCGCATCAAAGAGCCATCATACCACGACGGATGCCCCCCCCCCATCCGTGGTGGGTATTACCCAATAGGTTTGATGCTGATATGGAGCCGCAGACAACTTAACGGGTTACCGGGGCTCCGGCTCGAAGTGTAGGAGTAGGAACGGGGTGGTTTTTAGTCAGTAAGAGTATGACACTCCCAGGAAAAGACATTAGATGATTTTCACCCTTAAAAAAAAACTCGGTGCCCGTATTCAAGGCGCCCATCCTCAGAGGGCTTTAGGCACATAAGGTAATAAATAGGCTTACGCCTAATATATGGCAACTACTAACATAGATGTAGAGATAAAAATGGTGGTAATGGCTTCTTCCGCCTTAAGTGAGGTGAGAGGGTGTGTCAGATTTACTAAATAAGTCTGGTGTTACGAGTATCCATGGGCGGCACTGGTTGCTTAAGTACTATCAAGCGATCCGTTGGCTCTTTTACTGCTCTATCCCGTAAAAATCCAATCTTGCACGCGTGACAAAGCATCATGCATCCAATGACTCGTAACAACCTTTATTTTAAGTGCTCCATACTTATGCCGTGCCGAAGCACGGCATGGGCCGGCTAGACCGGAGTGATACCACAGCCGAACAAAAACTGACGTGAAACAACGCTTGCGTGTAAGGTTACTGGAGGCCCAACTACCCCCTCCACAATCTCCCTGACCCCCGAATCCCCAACATTCCTCGAATTCCTATTTCCCAAAAATTCCGGAAACGCAGTTCTAACGTCTCTGGTGGGAACACCAGAGACGTTAGAACTCACACCTGGAAACCACCTGGAAAGGTGTCCATGGGCGGCGCCGTTTGCATCAGGTGATTCATCTGCTCGTTTGCAGCTTATCCAATAATAAAAAATCAGGTCTTCTACATTCACCCTATGCCCTATTTTCTTACTGAACATTTGAAAATCGCAGTTTAACTCAGATTGCTTTGACGAAGGAAGTGTTTAAATTTAAAAAATCTAATCTATTTTTTTATTATTTATAATAATTTATTTTTTAAAAAAAAACCTTGCCCACACTTTGCTCCATTTATAATCTACTAGCTGTTCCCCGCGACTTAGTCCGCGTATAATAATGACTTCTGGCATTTTTTTTATTTTCCAATTAATCTCATCAGAATCTATTCAGTTATATTTATTGTGAAATGTTGTTCACTTTCGTGATTTCAAAAAATAAACAATTCCAGACTGATTTTAGCTGTATAGTATCCATTCCCAATAAGGTTTAAGTGATTAAAACTCCGTTTGAATTCCAATCGAATAGGTACCACGGTTGAAAACTACCGTCGTACCCAATTCAAATAAGTTCAGTGGTTTAAAAGAGAGAGTGAATAAGCCAACCTCTTCACTAAAACAGAGGAAGTTTGAATGGAGCATTTCGTAATTTCCAAGAAACCTAAAATTGGTATCAGATTTGTGACCAGCAAAACATCGAGCACCATTTTTTTTTTATCTTTTGTCAACCTACCCTAAATCTTGAAAAGGGCGCGAGCGAAACCGTGGGCAAAAGCTAGTGCATGAATGCATGAATAAAATGTAGTCAGTTAATTGAATTCATACTTTTTCTTTAAAATCCCTGATTTTGATGCAGCTAAATAGTACTATTAGTCCTTGTAAACAGTTTTCTATTGGCAGTCAAAGGCATAAGCAATATAAAGGAGTATTTTGGTAGTTTCATTCACACATCGGTTAGGTACATTATCGAAATTTACACACGGTTCCTTTTTTTCTGTCTTATTAAATAGCCTATGGTCATTATCAAATCTGATGACCATTAAAGCTGTGGCAGGCAATACATGGACAAGAGTAGCAAACGATAGAGAGAAATGGCACCAATTGGAGGAGGCCTTTGTCAATCAGTGACATACAGACAGGACATTGATTTTTATTCATGTCATTTATTCATGTTAATAAGTATTGTTTTGTTTTGTCTGATTAAAAGGCTTTTATTATTATTATTATGATCATCATCGATAATGTAGGATTCAAACGGTAAAAGAATTTTTCAAATCAAATTAGTTCAGAGTAGATTCAATTTAAATAAACAAACAAAAAATCGAATCTTTCCTCTGTATACTATTATATTTTTAGCGTAGAAAAATTCAACCAGCGTAATAGACATTAGGATTCCCTTTATGAATTCTCAAAAATGCAAATTGAACCGCATTGCAATAATAATAAACTTCAAAATTGGTATTCATTCAAATGCGAAACTAATTTGTATAAGTCCATATAAATAATGAAAGCATATTATTATAATAATTTAAATAAAACATGAAAAAGGCCTTTGATAATAAATAGAATCGCCGTTAGCTAGATAAAATTTGGTATCTATAATAGTATAATGTAGTTTTAAATTGCTTTTTAAATATCTTAATCTTATAATATATATTGAGCCGAGTGTTCGCAAGTGCGACAGCCGGGCAATGGGTCTCTGGTTCGATTCCCAGGTCAGGCAAAGTATCACTGGGTTTAAAAAAATCTCAGTAGTAGCACGAGTCTGGAAATGTGCCCGGTATATGGCAATAGGCTTACCCACTATTATATGGGACTCATAACATAAGTAGTGAAAAGCGGGTGTTAATTCTATGTGCACCTCTGCCTACCCCTTCTGGGATAAAGGGCGTGATGTTATGTTATGTATACATATATTGAATTGCACGTAATTTTATTGTACTTAAAAATGTTAACCTACTTAGATTTTAGGTTATTCTGAGTATTGTAGTGAAACCTTATTCTTTTGTGTTACATAATTAAATTCCAACTATTGTTATTAACGTTTGTATAAAAGATTAATGTTTGAGTATTAAAGTAAAGCAACCTTTTGGTTCTGACAACATTAATTTAACTTCAAATTATTTAAACTTACACAACTACAAGTTAGCACACTAAACTCCTACCCACAAATTGCTTTCGTAAAGTGCACCCTTGAGCAATACGAAGGTGTAAATAAAGGAGAACACACACACATACACTTATCTAATAAATATATAACTCTTTATTAATACTATTTCTAATAAAAAACAATCACACAAAGTGTTGCTCCGTGCGGGTATCGAACCCGACATCGACGTTGCGAACTCCCTTTACGCATCGTAAGAACTTGCAAATCAAAATCTTATCTTCCCAAAATCTTCTTTGTTTCTCTTTCCTGTATCTCCTAAGCAATAACAGAAGTGCACACTTCTTTTTACGATCCATGTCACGACCTAGTTTTCAATTTAAAATACGTTTAGTATGGTATGGTTGACGGTCGTCGAAGGTATAGTCACCTTGGGAGATGCCTTGTTGGACGAAATCACAACGCAGCAATTCGTATCGTATTTTCTGCGTTGCGAATTCGCATAGCATCGCAGTTTTGTGTACGAGCCCTTAAAAAAACTTAACTGCTTCGTCCCACACTCGATCTAACGATACCGTGTTCGACAATCCCACTTGCAGCCACAAATCAGTTTAAATATACTAATTTAAACAAAGAACAATAAACAGAAAAGTTATAAATTCTATCATCCTGTTAACAAAAAACTGAAATTTCACAGATTATAATAAGTTCCATAAATAATGATGAAAAGGTGTTTCTTTAGATCCACCCGCGTAGCATTCTTTTGAACGAATATCCTGTTTGTGCTAACCAATAAAAAATACAGTTATGACTGAACAATGAAATGTTGTTTCCAAAAATTTTATATTTTTCTAATCATCGAAAAATATGTAAGTCTTGTTTTAGGAACAATATTATTTGTTTTATCCGCCCACTCAGGAACTGTGTCTATTTCAGTCAGGTGGAAAATTTCTGCTGACTGACTCATTCTACCTATATTCGACACAATAGGGTTGACGACAGGATATGTATATTAAAATCTAATTAGTCCGTCAGTTAGGTACTGAAAAAATATTAGACACGTATTTTTTATTTAACATAATTTATCTTTGCTGATCTATAATGACACTTGGCGTCATTGTAATTTTTGTAACCA